CCATTCTATGATTCTATGATACAGCCAGTAGAGCAATAAAGTCTTGGTGTTCAAAAGAGCGTTTTTAAGCTAAAATATCAGGAATTTTAAAAATAACTTTATGAAAGCCCATTTTGAAGTAACTTTGGAACAGGCAGAGATCAAAAAAGAACATCTTAATCCATAAAATATTTGCTTAGACCCCAGTGAAGTGAAGCTCCTTGCCCGATCTGTCTGAACTGCAACAGGGAGCCCTCTGCTTTGGCTTGAGGCACAAAAGCTGACGCTGACCTTTGGACGGGATCGACAAACGCAGGCAACACCCTGGTTCTGACGGCATCTGTCACTCACCTTTTCGTTGGCCATGGAGTGGTACCACCAGAAGAGCCGCGTGGTGATGTAGTAAGCAATGACGACGTCCACAGTATAGTGCTCGTGAGCAACGAGGATGCAAATGATACCCGCAGCGCTCATTAGCCAGCAGATTAAGTGATACCACCAGAAATGACGTGGTGAATCTGTGAAACAGGGAGGTGATGGGGGAAAAAACACAAAAAAAAGCCATATGCATTATTACAGCAATCCACAAAGGCAAGGGGAAAAGATAAATGATTATTTAGTTAAGGCTGCTAAAGGTCAAAACATAAACCTGTGTATACCACACTGGTACAAGAACCCTCTTTTGACACAGAAAAACGAGACTGAATTATGCAAATGTACTGAGGTTCTTTGTAAAGCAAGCCCAGGATGAGCTGGCAGCTCGAGGTAAGGCAGAACCATCTCCCATTTCCTAGTCAAATTAAATAAGTTTTCCAGTTAAATCGCTTCCAGGGTGTGGGGTGCAGGGGAGGAAGCAGAATTGAGGCAGGACATACACTTTGATCATTTCACCTGGGTGCTTTGAGGCTTGCTCAAGTAAGGTCACCCGCCAGTACGGTGTCTGGAATGGACACAAACTGGGCAGAGATCACACATTAAACAGGAAAAGACACCCTTATTTTAATTCCCAGGGTTTAACTACTTTGCATGAGACCTTTGCTCTCTGAAACAGAGGCACTGCATGGGGAAGTATGGCACTTGAGTTTATACCCTTTCATTAAAGCCTAACAAACGGGAGTAGGGCTTTCCGTCAAAAACCATTTAAGGCACTCCAGCAGAAGAGCTCCCTGCCCTTCTTTCCCACTGCACAATGCCCTGGGTGTCACAGTGACCATTCACAACTTCTGGCAGGCCAACAGGCTTCGTTTCGCTCGTAGCAGGGGGTTTTGGCACCCCTCAGCCTTCACTTTCCCATACCACCAGCCGGGAAGTTCCTGATCCCAACGCGCGTACCCACAGCGGTTTCAGAAGCCTGAGCAAAACAGTGACTGTGGCAGCGCTTCAGTTTTGGTGCAAGTGGCAAAACTTGGTGCAAGTGGTAAATTCAGCTCTGCAAAACATGGGAGACAAATCTGTATCTGCTAATTAAAAAAAAATAAAAATCTCAAGGAGCCAAGTCATCAAGAAGTTGATAAAAACAGCTCAAAGCAAGGAAAACACAGCAAGGCTAAACACACAAATAACTCTTCTGGGCAAAAAAGATGGAGCGTGGGAGAAAAAAAAAATGAAGCAGCAGCCAAGGATGAAAAGAAGAGCAGAGCAAAAATCCATGAAGCCAGAAGTAATAAAAACTTGAGGTTTTTTTTTGCGAAGACATGTCACCGCAAAAGAGCGGAGGAATACTGTAAGAAACTCCAAATCAGCACTATTTGTGGGCTTAAGCCCTTGCTCAGGTAAGGTTTTGCTAGTTATACAGGGGGCAGAAAAAGGAAAGCTATGCATTTCTCATTTCTGCAGCACGACTCCACCGAAATAACTGCCTAATAATTAGGCAGCAGTCAGAGGGCTTACTACAAGAATTTGTATGATACCATTCCTCCAGCCCCTTATGATTAAAGCACACGAGTTACTCCAGCCCTGAAAACATGGCGTTATCGGCGTATTTCCTGGTGCTAAAGATAAAGAGTACGTGACCAGCATTAAGCGGCAGTAACATGCACAAACCAAGGCAAACAATAAATCTATTATCAGCCTATTTTCCTAATGCTGTTCCGGTAATTTTGATGAGTTACGTGTGCCCTGCCCTCAGTAACGTTCACCTTACAAGAAAGGCCTAGGCCTAAGAATCAGCAGACTATAACCAGCATCTTAAATCACTGTTTGAAGAATAATGTCTTGCATGCAGAGATTTGGGGTTTCTATTAAACAGGATTTTTATATAATGGTTTTTGTTCAAGGCAGAACGTAGCACCATGACACTTCCTTCCCTCAATATTCTGACAAGAGGAAGGCACCCAACTAACGCTGGCTAGCCCTATTGTTGTTTCAGTGAGAATTCCACACTGCCAAGCTCCCATCTGCACTGCTGGGACACAGCAGGAGGAGATCCCTTTCTAGTCTGCATGTTTAGAACTGGAAACTCCCCACTAGGCACTCAGGAGTGGCCAAGTTTGCATGGCAGCAGCACTGCTTACCATGAACCTGGGGCTCAGCTCTCCACAGCTTCACTCCACGCCAGGTGCACAGCACAGACTTACCCCCGCGCCGTAAAGTGAAGGGGGAAGACACAACCCCAACATACCCCGTGTGCTTGCCAAGTTCTCAGCCGCTCCAAGTAGGAGACTCCAGCAGAGGATAAACCAACTTCCCCTTGTCTGCAGTACCTGATGGGCAGCACACCTCAACAGAAGAACGGCTTCTGGATGCAGCGTGAGTGTGCAATGGCACTGTGCTCAAGCTACAAGAATTCCTTAAAATCTAAGGTACCACCAGGCAACCTGCACAGAGCTCGTTTGCAAAACTCACTACAGTATGTTTGACCCAAAATTTGAATGACTTGTCAGAAAGTGTCAAAAATCTAGCTTGCTTCAGTCAGTGAGTAAACATGTTTTACTAAACTAGAGACATGTTTTATTGAGGATAAACATGTTTTAAAGACAGAAGTGACATATCTAGTCACATTAAGCCCTTAATTAAAGCCCACACGACTTCTACTACACCGGTGTACCATTTTCACCCCAACTCATGGTTTGGATTTCCAACCCTCACACGTGCAGTCTGTGTACAGCTGGCTAGTGACCTTTGCAGGGCAATGGTTTCACATGCACTTTTATCACGTATTTGCCTGGAACAACAGGTTTGAACAAGGAAAACGCACCGGAATGCCATCACTTACACTCTTTGATGAACAGGTAGATCAGTGTTAATACCACAGTGTGACCACTAAAGAGGAAGTCTCCACACAGGATGTGTGATCCAGTTATGGAGAGACCGCCACCAGAGATCAGCCGCAGGATCCTCTGAACCTTTGCCTGAGAATCTCCATTCAACTAGAACACCAGAAAAAAGACAAAAAACAGTTTAAGACACACCATAAGTGACTGGAATAAACTTCTTGCCCAAACATATCTGCAGTCAGGGAGAAAAGGACACTTTATCTTCACTTTCTTGGGCTTTCTTTCACATAAAAAAGCATGCATGTCAGGGCTGACTGGTGCTAAAGATCAGCTTGATAACACTAGCATGCTGCCTCTTCTTTCCCAGGCTATTTAAAAAATGCACTGTGTGAAAATGAGATGCAGAATATACTGGAAAAGTAAACATTAAAAATGGGTAGTGCCAGGTATGTCACGACAGCCACTGACAGCCCTTACAGCCCCTTCCAGTGCCTGGGGGGGCTACAAGAAAGCTCGGGGGGACTTTTTCCAAGAGCAGGGAGTGACAGGACAAGGGGTAATGGATTTAAACGGAAAGCGGGGAGGTTTAGATTAGATATCAGGAAGGAATTCTTCCCATAGAGAATGGGGAGCACTGGAACAGGTTGCCCACAGAAGCTGTGGATGCCCCATCCCTGGGAATGTCCAAGGCCAGGCTGGATGAGGCTTGGAGCAACCTGGGCTATGGAAGGTGTCCCTGCCCGTGGCAGGGGGTGGGACTGGGTGGGCTTTAAGGTCCCTTCCAACCCACACCAGCCTTTCATACCACTTCTGTCATTCCTTTGAGAGCTGAGCAGTGTATCTACAGGACAAAAAAAAAAAAATCCCTCAAAACTCACCCAGTTCTAGATTTGGTTACAAACTCAGTAAGGGCTTACTCAGAGTTAGAGGATTTATTTGTTTCTAAAGATGCATTAGGATCAGCTTTTGGTTTCTCACAGCTACTGGGCAAACACTCAGTTTCACCTAGCTGTTTAAAGATAAACTCTGGGAAATAAACCAAACAAGATAAAGGGATAACAGTTTTTCATAATCAGAAAAATATTTACATAGACAAAAAAAAAAAGGCAGAAGAGCTATCAAGTTTTCCAGAGTTCAAGTAATCCATCCTGCTAGCAAAACACACTTTCAGCAGGGACATGATAATTTTTCCTTTGCTTACCTCTTCCCATTCCTTGATACAGTCTATACACAGCGTACCCCCCAAACCAGTATAACAAGACAGTTGAATCTTTACAGCAGCCGTGTGTAACTAAAGCTTTTTCCAACAGATTCATACGTAGTTCACGCACTACATTGCTAAATTGTCCCAGCATGAAAGAGTAAGATTGAGCTGCCATGACGACAGTCTCAAGACCAGTGAGATCCTACCCAAGGAGTGACAAGTTTATCCCCCAAGCAAACAGGCAATATTTTTAGGTTTCAAAATGCTCGTCTCCACAGTGCACAACCAAATGCTTACTCAGGTGCACTGTTTTTCCGCTGTGGCCAACACGATGCAGCTTGTGCCAAGACTTCTGGAACAATGCTACTAGTAACCTAGAATGGCAGTAAGAAAATTCCTTTGTGTCGCTGCGCAGCTACGCCGTCACTTTTTACATGTTCTTGCAGAAATATTTGCATGTGTATGTTTCTCTGTATCAGCTTGTTTCAACAGCTGAACCCGAGTCACATTTATGTGTTTTGCAGGCTGGAAGCACAGACAGGCAGCTGACTTCAGGTATTGCAACAGCTCTTGACAAAACAGCGTGAGAAACAGAGCCAAGCACAGGGCAACACTGTGGGGTTTTCACAAGGATACTGCAGCACAGCTTGTGCATCTGCTCATGCATTACAACATTCACCTTAGCTAGCTCACCATGGAAAAAGAAATATTATTGCTGCAGTATTAGCGATTAGCTTGCGCCTCAGAAGCAAGTTGATCAATTTGGTAGAATATTTCAACACAGGTACACTCCTTTATAGCCTCTGAACTGACAGCTCGAGGTGCTGTCTGCATCACAAAACTGGTTTTGTCACTATCTCTGTTTCTGAAGACATCCGCTGAAGTAATCCGTGTTATTTCACGACACCTGGAGCGTTATCTTCTATTTGCTCTAAGGAGCCACAAGGACTTGGGCAGAGACTAAGGCAAGGATTAGGGAGCAAAGGCTCTTACCTTCGGTGCACACTGAAAATGCATTCCAGGCACAGGTAAGGTGGTAACGTACATTGTAATGCAGCGGTACAGGTACAAAGTTCCTATTATAAAAAAGAACCTGCGTCCCACTATTGATCTGAAAGAGAAGGGGGCAAGATTGAGTACCACGTTCACATACAGGACATACACGTAACTGTTACGGAGCTCTAGCTTTATTAGATCCCTAAATCCCTAGAAATAGAGCAGCTCCACCTGCTGCTCTTCACCACACACTTCTCTAATCAAACACTAAGAAGTCCTTCTGCAGGTTTTAGTTTTAACTACCACACAACTCTCACCAAAGCTGTCCAACCAATTTAACATGGCCTCGGCCTAACATAAGTTTGCAGTCAGGCGGTCTTCCTCGACTCTGTGACCTTCTCTTCAGGCTCATGTTACAGCCACATACCTGAATATATATAGTTTAAGCAAATGAGGACAAAGGAAAAGGCTTCAGCTCAGTTGCAGAGGAGAGTGGGGTCCTCCTCAAACTCAGGTCAGATTTTTTTAAAAGTTGCTATTTTAAACACTGCCATGTTGGCATGCACCCTCTGAGACGTTGAATCCCAAAATCATTTGACTGGTACAACCAACATAGGTGTCAAATTCAGATCTAGAAAACATTCCATCCTCAGGAGAAACCTGTTGAACCCTGTGTCACCATATCCAACATGGACAGGAGACCTTCTCCTGAGGGAGTCATCCCTTCGTCGTTTTCCTGCCAGACCTGCTCTACTGTAGGCATCTACCATGAGATTTTTCTGCCCACAGTGAAGGGGGAAAACCAATGTTTGGAAAACAGACAGGAGAGAAAAATAGAGCTACTTACTTGTATCTAAGAAACAACCACTGGAATATCCATAGTCCCAGTAGTATCATGCCATTTATTTCTGATACAGAAAAAGCCCATTTCACACGATCAATGTAATCAAAGAATTTGTCAGGCAAGGGAGGGCTCAGCTCCTTTGGGGGTACTCTCTCATGGACCACAGTGATCACTACAGTTGTTAGAATCAAGTTGAAGAGAGCATAGACAAAGGCAATGCCTGTTTTCCACCATTCCAGAGGGAATTTGTTCCTGGACTCAGCAGCCACAGCAATCTGGATGTAATCAGGGTATTTCTTTGTTGTTTTTCGCAAGCCGTTAGACAAGCCCTTTGGTTTGCTAGTGCCGTTTTGGTTCTCTTCCACGACCGAGAGTGCAGGTCGTGAGTAGCCATTGGAAGTGTCATTGTTCTGACCCTCCATATGCTCTTCAAGCTTTGCTGTCTCAATGGTATTCATTCCCAAGGTGCATAGCCAAGTCCCGTTTGAGTGACTGGTTTCTGGGCTCTCTCAAGTCCCCTGTTCCTCGAAGTCCAATGTTCTTGTTCCTGGATGATCTTTGATGCCTGGAAACTCTAAAAAGGGTCCGTTGCTCTTTCACTGTTAAGACACTGGATGGCGAATTGTGAAGACCAAGTCTTTTTCCTCTAGAGCTGTATCATCTGCAAAAAAACCCACAATAGACACTGAGGACCGTCAGAATTAATGTGACATTGAACAAATATTAAAAACGCTTCTCCAAGTTCCATAAAAGTCTATTTGCACACACAGCCAGAAGGCAAACTAGGGACAGGTGGTTACTGGGAAATTACTCAAGCCAGTTCCTACTAACTTGATAAATCTCTGATCAGGAACTAGTACCAACATAGGCTTTTTTTTTTTTAAACAGAACAAGATCCACAGACTTTAATGATCATGAGAGCACAGTTTTCGGAATTAAGACCAATCCATGTGTGCAGCAATATTCAATTTCATTGCTTAGGGGCATACCATTCCAAATATCTCTTTTTCAGGAGGGCCACAGAGATGCTCCGAGGGCTGGAGCCCCTCTGCCATGGGGACAGGCTGGGAGAGTTGGGGGGTTCAGCCTGGGGAAGGGAAGGCTCCGGGGAGACCTTATTGCAGCCTTCCAGTGCCTGGGGTAGGGGAGGGGCTTTTTCCAAGGGCTTGTAGTGACAGGACAAGGGGTAACAGGTTTAAACAGAAAGTGGGGAGGTTTAAATTAGACATCAGGAAGAAGTTCTTCCTGGAGAGGGTGGGGGAGCACTGGGACAGGTTGCCCAGAGAAGCTGTGGATGCCCCATCCCTGGGAGTGTCCAAGCCCAGGCTGGATGAGGCTTGGAGCAACCTGGGCTAGTGGAAGGCGTCCCTGCCTTACACTTTTTCTTTAAAAAAATATGTCTAAACAATTGTTTGGGTGGTTTTTTTTTTTGTAAACAGGAACAAATGGCAAGTTTCATTATGGCACAGCCCTTCTTTCAGGCTGCATTTGTCAATTCACTAGATTAAAAAATTAGGTACGTGCATACATTTTATAACCTGAGTTTCTACAGAGAACGCAGTTCACCTCTACAGACCTGACCGCTCTAGTCAAACAATAGCCCTTCCCTGCACCCCGCTCTCCACCTCCAAAGTTCTGCAAACCCACTTACCGTAGTTGTGATGGACCCAATTGTGTTACTCTGCTCAGCTCCTATGGCAAAAGTGGTCTGTGTTACTCTGTATCTGATAATACCACTTTTGCCATAGGAGCTGAGCAAAGTGTTCACTACCAACCAGCAAATTATAGTTCTCTTTTTACTTGTCCTAGTTTCCTTGGCATTGCTCTGCCTGCCAACACAGGCTGCGCAGCTTGCCATGCTGTATGTACAATCAAGTCACCAGGAGGGAAGCTGCCAGTCTGCCTGACCAAACATCACAGAACTTGGCTTCAGGGAAGGCAACCAGGTTAGGAAGTACCTGCCCAGTAACTGGTCTCCATAGCAAGGGCAAGCTAAACCCAAAATGGATCAGCAAGTCCCCTGTTTGTGTTTTGGTCCCTCTCCTCTCATCCCCCCAAACAGATGAGACATTTAATGCCGTCAGCATGTAAATCCTACTCATTTCCTAGCTGCTGCTCCCACTGCTGAAAGGGAGAAGAGGCAATGGCTCAGATCCCAAATGTGACTCATGCAAACACTGAAAGAGTCAAGAAGCATTTCTAAATTCACTTCTCAGCTGTGTTTCCGAAATCCGCTGTCGTTGGTTGACTTTGTAAATCCCTCATCAACAAGTGTATGAAAACAAAACACTCCACACCCCAACAACTCTCCACCCCCCGCAAAAAACACCAAAAAGCGGTGATCTCAGATACTTTTTCTCCCCCTTACTAGCCACACTGTAAACTCTGCTTCCGTAAGAGAAGGGGTTGTTTAGCCAGCACCCCGGCAACAGTCCCTCTGATTCTTCCAACAACTACGACCATTCTTTCAGAGCAGTTGCAAAAGCAGCAGCCTTACTTCAAACTGTAGTAGAACATTCCCACTTTCACAAGTTCCTTTCTTAGCACACACATTCTCATATTCCTCTGCCTAGTAGAGATAAGCACCGACAGAACCCTTAAATGAAGATACAGAACAAAATCGGAACCTGTCTAATTGTTCAAGTTTTGGAACACAAGCCTTCCCAGCATTCACCTCCTAAGTCAAGGACCTTCTCAACACGACATTATATGCAGCAGTCACTGATGTAGAGCTGAGCAAACCTCAACATGTTTTTATCCTGCGCAGTTGACACATTGTTGAATTACTCTCCACTGAAAAACAGAGCGTCCCAGCAAGTAGTAACCTTAGGTGTTTGTAGGGAAGAGAAGGAAATTACTCATGTTACCAGTGGTGTTAGTTCACAGAAGATTTATTTTTCAGATATTTAATGGCATCCAAAATAAGCCATAAAGATCAAACGCCATCTGAACAATGACCTAACAGTAGACTGGCACCCTGGTTTTACATTAACTTATTAAGCAAGGCAATTATACCTACAGCTCACAGAAAAAAAAAAAAAGTTCCTTCCTGGTACTTTCAAAAGGACTCTAAGGCATATTGATCTACCATTTCTGACGGTTCATCAAGATTATTTCAAGCAGAGTGCATACTGTGGTCAAACCTTTGTTTACATGGACAGTGCAAGGTGCTATATCACTGATCAGATGACAAAGAACATAAAAAACCCTTTTCCTTTATAGAGGCTTTTCAAACTGTTTCTCCCATATTCTAAGAGAAAGCAGAAGTTCTAGCAATGACAAAGAGGAAAAACACTCTGCTCAAAGCTTTCAGTCCCCTGCTGCCAACCTGACTGGCCGGAGGAGTCACAGCTAGCACACACCAACAGCTGCTACAAGCTGCAGAAGCACAGCAGCACACTGGATTTTCCACCAGCTCCTGTTCCCAGATCCATCCGAGTCCCCATGAGGGGTGTGTTCCCTCTAGCTTCTGTGGTGTCCTTATGTTAAAGGTTTAAATTGAATGTGGGGAGGGTTAAATTAGACATCAGGAAGGAATTCTTCCCGCAGGGGGTGGGAGCACTGGGACAGGTTGCCCAGAGAAGCTGTGGATGCCCCATCCCTGGGAGTGTCCAAGGCCAGGCTGGATGAGGCTTGGAGCAACCTGGGCTATGGAAGGTGTCCCTGCCCATGGCAGGGGGGTTGGAACTGTATGATCTTTAAGGTCCTTTCCAACCCAAACCATTCTATGATTTCAGACAATGTAAAATATCTTACTGCTGCTTTGTCAAGCCTTGAATATCCCCCCGACAAAAATAGAAGGCCCACTATGAGGCAGGTTGTGGGCATCTGCAGCTTTTCAGTGACCAGGCAACTGTGCTCAGACCTGGCCATCTTCCAACATCCAGGGTCTGAAAATCAGACACAACTGCTCTGACCTATGGGACATCCACTGGGAGTCTGACTCACAAAAATGGGCCAAGTAACCCAAAAGCATAAATAAAAGATTCTGTAAGGATACACCCAAGTCTTAGGAAGAAGTTCTCTTACTGAAGAGACTTCAACACCTTCCAAGAACAGACACATACCCTCAAAGGGCAGAGCTTCAGCAATATAGCAGCAGAAGTTGTAAGTGCCACAAGGAACATCGTATTTTGAGGAAAATGAAATATGAGTGAAAAAGATGCAAGAGCAGCAAGGGTCCACTGTTTATCCTGCTTGGTCCCATGGCTCCTTCAGTTTCCAGCATCTCCATGTGGCTGTCGTTCAAAAGACGAGAGTTGCCGGGGGGTACAGCTTTGAGACAGCCTGCATTTGGCTCTTTATGCTAGAACTTCAGAACAAGCAGTTTTATTCAGCTTGTTAGTCATCCCATTTTCACATAATGGTAGCTCACAACTGGTATTTTGAACTTCTGTACCATTTCTCAAAATATTTTAACTTCTAGAATGAATCAAGGACTGAGGAGTCACAATTTGCACAGCCCTTCCAATTAAGTAGTTCCTAACCTGCTGTTCCAGATACGGACAATACTATTGGAGCAAGAGTGTCCAAAACAGTAAGGCAACTACATCCCATAAGAGATGGACAAGGTTTCTAGGCAGTAGTAGTAAAGGCTTACACACTTCTAAGGTTGGCTCAAATACGTCACGCAGATGTAATACATTCTGGTGTTTGGCAGTTGCAGACAAAGGGTCTGTAAATAACATGCTGCAGAAAAAACCCACAACTGGAGATGACATGAGACAAACTTATACTATCCAAGTGTTATCTGTATCACAATTAGCAGGAAACAACTGTTAATTTGTTTGTATTTCCTTCAGGTTTTCCTATGGGGCCAGAAATAGAAAAGCAGCTGGGTTGTCCCTGCTACCTTGGCAGCAATGAATAAAACCTGACTGTGGTGTTTCTCTTTTTTTAAAAAGCATTCCAGACACCAGATATTTTGTTATCCCTTCTTCCATGCTGTATGTATGGTCTGCATGCTGCGAGGTAATGTGAGGGGACAACAAAAAAAGCCACCAAACCAAAGAACTGCTCAACCCGATCTGAGCAAAGTGCATTTAGGAACCCAGAAACAGGACCGAGTTTAATAGGTTTGCTTATCATTAGTATAAATTTCCAGAGCTGTGTTCATCTTTCAGCTGTACAATGGTTACGCTTACAGCCTGTAAATGCACCAACAAAGTTAAGTGCAGTCTATCTAAAAGTTACAAGTTCATCTGCCAACACATTTCTTGCTGATGCGATGCTGAAGCAGTGCAAGATGAAGAGCATATTACAGCAGTGCCGTTCATTCAAATGCTCTCAGAACAGAGATTATCGTTATTATTGTCACTTGCAGTAAGTTTCAACTGTTATAAAAGTATTAACTACTCACGCTGTGTAACAGCTCCAGTAGGAGAAAAAGAGCAGATCCTCTCTCACGAGGTAGAGGGAGTGGTTTTGCAATTCTCTCACTTAGGATCACTAATGTCCTAAGAAAAGCTGTCTCACTTTTAAGGTCTAAATCCCTATGCATAACCAGAGAGATAAGAGCTTCGAGGTTACTGGTCAGCTCTTTGTACAATCTAAATTTTTCCAGTTCTGTGGAATTCTGTTTCTTCACACCTCTTCAGAGTAAGAGGGGTAACCATTTCCATTTTCCTGGCATTTAGCACTTGGTGTGTTCCATA